TTAAAATTCATACGATGTTTATTCTCCTACTCTACAATTCAAAAAATTAACTAATCATTTGTATTCTGCTAAGCACAAACGATGTAAATTACTTGATTCATTCCAATATACATTGAACCCCAAAACATTTGTCAATTACAAGTCTGACTACTTGTAAGTAGTATAAATTTTTCGATGAAAAAATTGTTTGATGGCTAAAAAATAACCTTTATTTTAATTGATTGTTTCACTGATTTATTCAAGTAATATAAACTAAATAATTAATTAGTTCTCTATGATTTTATCTTTTCTCTTCATACATTGAACATGATACATTCATCTACATTTTTATCGTTTTTGGAAATTATAATTGTTTGGGTGCATTTTAATGCTTACCAATGGAATTGTCCTAACAACTAATTCTTTTTTTTTGTACTGTTTTACTTGTGTATTTTTTTGTGATTATCATGTAAAAATTAAACGGGAAAATTTTGACTAAAACAATGATTGTTATTGAATAATAATAACAATTTGAAATGTAATGGTTTTGTTATTCCATACTAAACATCGTATTGCTATATGTGTGTGTTCTTGATAAATTGGGTTTTTATTCCTCATACAATTTTATCAATGTTTGGATTTTTTTACTGTTGTTTTTCTTAAAAACTGTTTCTCATATCATGTAACTTGTGTTCATTCTGTGTTGTTTGTCTGTCATCATAATCGTGGTCATCATTTTTATTATCACTACTACTACTACTACTATCACTAATAATCTCAACGAATTTCGTCATTGTAACGTCATGAATTATCATCTGCCTTACAATCATGGAATTGTTACTGTTTACCATACATACATTTGTGCACACTACGTTCACACACATTTATGCACTCGCGTGCGTGTGTTTGTGTGTGTGTGTGTATTTTTGACGAAAGCCTACTAGATCACTTTCTTTTATTGACACTTCAACTAACAAAGTTACACATTCAAATGATCCTGTTTTAAATAATTTAGCTTTGATGCGATCATGGTATTTAAACAATGATGAAAAGCATAAAAATCCATTTATGGATCGATATCGATCGTTGGAGTCGTCAAGGTCACCTCTGACGTCATCATCTGCCTTTTCCTCCTCCTCCTCATCAATGATAACGAATTTGCATTCAGATTGTATTGTTAATGATGTGTCAATGGAAATAGAACCTCCGCCTAAGAAAAAGGCTTGTTTGACGGATTCTTTCGATAAGGATCACTTATTGTTTCGAGATAAGCGCAAACAGGAATATCATGTTGGTGATAATCATAACAGTACTGAGACATTTGAACGAACATTATTGCTGAAAATTTTACAGTTGCATCAGAAAAGAATATTAAAATATAATGAAGTAAATGATGACAATTATTGTTCAGTATGATGAATAAAAATTTTAATGAACAGGATTGGATAAAGTTAGACACTAACACCATTGAATACCGATTAACTGGTCTAGAGGTAGTTAGGTATTCACGCGCGAGACCGGAGTTTCTGGGTTCATGGGTGTGCACTGCTGATGAGTTCCATACTAGGACGAAACGGTATTTAGGTGTTTCCAGGTTTTTAATGACGATCTAGCTTAGATCAGTTCGTGATTTCAACTATGGGCATAGAATTTTGTCTATTTATTTTATGTCATAGTAGTAGAACTTAAAAATGATGGTGATTCCCTGATGGTCACTGTTGTGTCTTGTGATCAATGTCCTAAATCACATGTTCAGTGATAAATCAAACTCCTAACTCTAATTTAGTGTATTATTCACTCTATAGCTTTATGTTTCTAACTTGACTTAATACATGTCCGATAAAGTGCTAATGACCTTGAACCGACAGCTAGTTTCCTGTTGGTCCACACTATTCACTAGCTCCTCGTTTTTATTGCCTAATATCAAGTTCAGAACATAGTAACCAGCCTCTGAATACAGACCTGCTTTATATACAAAGATATATTGGACTACACTACACACTACAAATTGAAAAAAGATAACATTTATACAGGTTAAAAGTGTCTATGAATAAGAGAAACTGTGAGTAATAAACTGGTTATAATTTAGGAATAGTAAGTTATGTGCTAAACGTTTTCAGGTTAACCAAACGCTTACGGTAAAAAGGATACATATACATAGTAATCTAGCTAATCAGTATTTGTACAACAAAACTATGCATTTATTTCATTGTAGGGTTATGGAGATTGTTGCGTTACTTTGAAATAATGAACCTATCACCATTAGAAATCTGGAAGCACTGAACGACGTGGCGTACTGCTAATAAGTCCCATACCAGGACGGAACGGCCGTCTTTCAGTGCTTCCAGCTTTCTAATGGTGATCTAACACAATGATCGATTTATGGTTTCGAAAAAACCAATTCCAATGTCTACCATATTGCTATTCATTTTAACAGTGGCAGGGTCTAATCTTCAATCGATGAGATTGTAGATTTGTACACTATTCACTCCTACTACTACTACTGCTATTGCTAATAACTTACTACTTATTACTAGTACTCACACTACTACTACTGCTATTACTACTAGTACTACTGTGGTGTGAGCTACTTATAAGTAGTATATGACGTGACTGTCAACGTAATGTCTGGCAGCAGAAGATAGGGGAAGATCAAGAAAGGAAGAGTTAGAACACAATGGAATTTGTATGAAACGCATGAATAGTAACAATGGATTGATGTTTTGCAAGAGGAACAGTCCAGTTCGATATGATGGATTGATATTTTGTAAATTAACGATTTACGATATGGTTTTCCAATTTTACTGAGTAACTCTGTAATTTTTGTTAAATACAATTCGGTTGCCCCACATAAATCAAGTATACTTGTTTGAATGATGTTAAATTGATGTTTCTTTTGTCCGAGTGAATTGATTAAATTTTTATTTGGTTGACAGAAAAAAAAGTTAAATAATATACGATCTAAATTCTCAATGGCGATGATGACAAAAGAAACCTGTTTCTTCTTTTTTTACAAACTAAACAAAGCTTCTATTCATCATATTTTGAATTAGCCTTAAAATTCAAGGTAGATAGATTTCGTGTATTTCTGGCGAAATGTTATATCTGAATTATACTGAATTCTACTTGTCTCAAAGAGTCTGGATCTGATCTCGTGGGGATTCAGAGAAGTTCTTGCTATGCTCGTCAACTGATATGCTTGAATGCTATTTTACGAGTTCACCTTAGTCGGTAAACGAGAGCTAAGACAAATGATACAGTGATACGATAGGCTACTCTAATCCAAGCATCCCAAAGCCCCACTAAGTAGAGGAAGAAGTCTTGATAAGGCGTAGAAAGTGTATTCTACAAGCACCCAGAAAATATGAGGTTGACAAGCACACAAATCGAGCTTATTTATACATGATAGAAACGTCCTTAGGAGAGCCACAAAAATAGCGTACTAAAATAAATACATCAACCAATGACAGTGAAGGATTTTCCGATTGGGAAATGTGATCTCAAGGTCAACTGATCAGCCTATGTGAGAAAACATAAAATCTAAAATAAGTACTTTTTTCAAGTGAGTTCAGAGGGATCTAACGTCCCCAACACTTCCAAAATGACTGTTCAATATTCTGTAATTTTCAATAGTTTATCACTAGTCTAGAAGTTGAACATTCGTGCTCGGGTCTGAAGGTTTCGCGTTTGATCCTCCTTCTATGCTGGGATTATGAATGTACAGTGTTTAAGAGTCAGATACACTAGGCTGAGACAGCTTGTTGATTTTCAATGAATGTTTGACTTTCGGGTTGATTCTTGACATAAATACCATTCAGTAATCTTGTTAATAACTAACATAAGCTTATTATACTGTTTGTTGTACTGTTATTGTGTTTTTATCCTATAGAATATTGGATTTAGTCCATATTTGAATGCAATCACAGCGAATGGAATGACAAGTTTACATGGTCTACCAAATTTACCAACACATTTATCAACAACTGCAACACCACGTCATTTACTTAATACTACTACTACTAATAATACTAATAATAATAATCATCATACTATAAATGGTTTGACAAATAAACGATCTAGTTTACCAGATACTAAAACTGATTTCTCATCAATTTATACACCATGTGGAATAGTGACTACAATGAATGGTAATAAATTCAATGCACAAAATGATCATCATCGTCATCATCATCACAATCAACAACACCATCATCACCAAAATCATCATCAAAATCATCATCATCAGAAATTGAATGGATCAACTGGTACTAGTAATGAAACAGTAAATACAAAAGAACATAGTCAATCACCTGGAATACGTGTTACACCTGTCGTATCGAATGCTAATAATGCCGGTGCTTGTAGTAGTGGTGCTGGAGGCGGCGGTAGTTCAGTGGGGAATTCTACCAATGGGAATAGTAATACTAACAATAATAATACTAGTAATAATGGTATGAATGCATCAGCTGCGGCAGCTGCAGCAGCGGCGGCATTTTTTAGTCTACAACAACAACAACAACACCAACAACACCAACAACAACAGAATTCCATTAGTTTAGGTCTACCACCCCCGTCGGCACCGTCAGCAGCAGCAGCAGCGGCTGCAGCTGCGGCGGCTGCTGCGGCGGCCCATGTGAATCCAATTCCATTGACAACTGTATCATTGGCGGCAGCTGCATCATTAGCAGCTGCAGCTGCAGCGGCCAATAGAGTCATCGGACCGAATAATACATTATCATCACATTTTCCTGTTGCATTACCTGATCATACAGGTGGTTATTTTCAAACTCCTTGTAAGTAATGATCATTTGGGTAAATTATAGTGATTGATTAATCATCATATATGATTACGTATTTATGAATGTTTATCGATTCTCTATGTTAATACAATGAATGATGAATAGACTGAATAAGAAATAGAGGGGTGTAGGGGTGGGAGTAGTCGTTTTCATACTGGTGTGATGAATGCTGCTCATAAGGCGGTATATGTCAGTCAGTCAGTCAGATGCAACGTAGAACTTTGTACATAAGTACATCAGTTCATATTGCCATACCACATCAGCACAGAGATGTAATTGTCAATTCAAATCCAATAGTAGAAGAGGTATTAAAGGTATTAGAAGTAATCGGAGAGGTTAGGATTAGAAGATACTATTCAAGAAATATGATTCAGTGAGAAAAGTTTAGAAAGACAAAACTAGAGGTGTTGAATAATCCAGAAGATTAGGATTTGAGAGAACACAGAGAATAAATGCACCGGCGCCATTGCGAACGATTTTGAGCCATGTCATTCAAGGTCTCTAACCATCGATTATTATCATCTCGCGGACCCCAACCAGGTAGTCGACAACTACCGACATGGCTAAGTCCACTTGTCAATGACTTCATGGATTTCTGCCATGTTTTGGTTTGGCCGCCCCTAACTTTCTTCCAACCTATTCCTACACTACAAAACAAAGCTCTTCGAGGCAGTCGGTGGTTGGGCATACGCAAGACATGTCCCAACCACCTCAACTGATGAAGTTTCATTACTTCATCTATTGATCTGCCATTCTTACCTAGTACTCGTTTCGTAACGACAGCGTTGCTCACTCGGGTGTCCCAGGATATACGAGCAATGCTTCGAAGACACCTATGATCGAAAACCAGTAACCTACGAATATCTTCTACTCTCACTGGCCATGTTTCACAGCTATAAAGTCGGACGGAGCGAACTACTGCGCAGTACACTCGTCCTTTAGTCAGCAAACGGATATCTCGCCTACGCCATAATTGATGCGGGTTGGCAAAAGCCAATCGAGCCTTCTGTATCCGAGCTGAGATTTCGTCAGTCACCGGGCGGTATATGAGTGTGGTATGCAGCGGAGCGTTGGCTAGAAGTTGTTATGAGAGAGAAGTGTCTGGACAGTGATCTGTATATAGCGTGTCTTCTTGAAATAATCTTGACATTTACGCTCATCACACTGGCAAATTGAATATCTACTTAGTAGTAGTGAATAAACTTCCATTTAGAAGCTTTGATCAATGGAATCTAACCGTGTTTAACCTGAGATAGATATCAGAAATGATAATTATGCAATATTGTGAATCCATTGCTACTGAAACTATATATATCATACTCTCATAAAGTATATCTTGAAGGTCTTGGATGAGATTCATTACAAGGTCGTGGGTAAGCATTGTCAAGGTATCCAATACTAAGACGAAGTAAATAGATTTATTAGTTTCAGGAAGAATAATCAGTAATTAGTTTTGAAGGAGTGAGTCGCTTTTATAGAAAAGTCTTATACTGTTCTGACTGTCGATAAGAATTATTAAAATCAAATAAATTTACTAAACTATAGTTTTAGATTAAGAATTTACTACAAATTATTATCTTAATTAAATGGGCATATAATCTTTAGGTATATTAGTTCAAGTTACCATACCGCGATAGCGCATAGATGCAACTGTCGATTCAAATCTCATAGTGTGGTAGATGTATGTTATGGTCGTCACTTGCTATGCTTTAAACTATTACGGGTTCACCTTAGTCGATAAACGAGAATGAGACAATGAACCAGTGACACGATAGGTTACTCTAATCCGTTGACCCAAATGTAATAACAAGAAGTCTTGATATGGCGTAGAAAGTGTATTCTACAAGCACCCAGGAAAAATAATAATCTCAAGCACACAAATACATCATAGAAACGTCATTGGGAGAGTCACAAAAATAATATACTAAAATAACACAGTAACCAATCACAGCCAAAGATTTTCCTGGTGGGAAATGTGATCTCAAGGTCAACTGATCAGCCCATGAATAAAATCCAAAATTAAGACATTTATCAAGGGAGTTCTAGGGATCTAACGTCCCAAGTAATGTAGTAGCAGCATGAGCAGTAATCGGAAAGAGTAGGGTTTGATGAGGTGAGTCAAGAAATTTATATTCCAATTTGAGAGAACACAAAGAGTGGATGCACCTGCTTTATCGCAAACCATGTTGAGCCATGCCATTCAAGGTCTCTAACCACCAGTTATTACTACCTCGCATACTCTGACCAGGTAGTCTACACCTACCAATATGGCTCACTTCACTTGTCAGTGACTTCATGGATTTGTGCCATGTTTTGATCTGGCCGCCCTTAGGTTTTTTCCAGCCTACTCCTGCACCACAAAATATCGCTAGAGAAGTAAGGAAAAATAATAGTTATTAGTACAGGAGATTTGTGGAGATTGTTACTGTTGAAATCACAAACTGATATGATCGTAGCTAGACCACCATTGTAAACCTGGGAGCATTTAGTGGCTATTTATTCTTAGCACGCGATTAAAGAGAATGTTTCATCGACGAACCCCCACGCAGTAATCGAACCAAAGACCTTCAGCCTCGTATACAGACGCTTAGTCTTTAAACCACCACACCAGCATCCAACAGTGTTAATGTTTAACTCCGATCATTTGATAATAATGCGCAACCCTTTTTTCATTTCTTGTCGTGAATAACTATCTCACATATAACAGGGATTAAACTCTGCTGGATATTCTTTTCTTTACATGTCAAAGATCATCGGCTGTTTTGAGATCTTCATTATACATTTATCGACTGACAAATAGTAATTCATAAAAATAAAAACTGACATTCATATATTAAGTAAGTAGGCTAGTGGTTCTCTCTTCTAAAATTTATTCAGTTGAGATTTGTTGGCTAACTCTCAACAAGTAAATTATTATTTTCCATTCTATAATTATGAAGATCATTGTTTTACATTGAAATAGTGAATTAATCATCGTTAAAAACATGGAAGCACTGGACGGCCGTCTCGTCCTGATATAGGACACGCCGGAAGTGCGCATCCACGACTTCCTCTAATCGTAGGAGTTGAACACAGGACCTTCGATCTTGTGCTTGAACGCTTAACTTCTGGACCATTGAGCCGGCATCCAACTACTGATGAGTCCCATACCACGACGAAACGGCTATCCAGTGCTACCAGGTTTCGAGTGGTGTCCTAACAATGATTAGCTCACGATTTCAACGTAAAAGTAAATTATTCCTTCGATCATGTCAATCATTTGTGTCATTTTTTATTAACTCAACCCTAACCTGTATTATGCATAATGTGTTCTTAATTTATAACTAACAATGATGCTTTGTTTTTCCTAATTTTTTCTACAGATCATATTGAAATACCATCATTTTCTTACCATTAATGAGGGGTTTTTTTTAAAAAAAAAATAAGAACATACAATCGAAATGATGGAAAACTACAATTTTTGAAAATTCCGCCATTTTATTATTTACACTCTGTTGATCAATTAAAACAAACCAATATTATATTAACGAAACAAGATTTATAACGATAATATTTATAATTTCCAAAAAAAATCTCTTTATTTGTTTTTATTCCGAAGAAATTCTAGTAGTAGTAGTAATAATAATATTAATAATAATAATATTCTTTCAAAGATTCTAGTTTCTGTTGTATTCATTGGAAAGTCGTATGAGTATCTTTATCTTCGAAGACTGTTCTTGTTGTGTGTTTGTGTGTGTCTGTCTGTGTGCGTGCACACCTGTTTGTGTTTGATGCGAACAAGTTAACTTTTTTTTTCAAACGTCCTTGTTCTTATTTTATCGATCGGAATGATTCATTCATGAATAATGATCATTTCAATAGTCAATTTATTACTTACTCTGTCTATCTATCTAATAACATCTACATACCTTTCTTTATACATCGATATTTATTTATTTAAAAAAAAGTAAGATGGAAAGAAATCGAATCCAACGAATAAATTTGATAATAACAACAACAACAATAATGGAATTCAAAACTTTCAAGCATTTGTTCAATTTTTTATCATTTATTGTTTTTATTTAATATCACATAATTTTATTTGTCTTTTTTTTTAAATTTTCGAAAACATTGAAAATTGAAACATTCATAGAAATGTAAAACAAGCATATATACATATATATATATATATATATATATATATATATATATATATATATATTGATATTTATTTATTTAAATACATGTTCAAGTAGTTCATTGTATATTTTCTCAGCTGTGTCTCTTGACAGTCGGTTCCTTCTTCTTCTTCTTCTTTTTCTTCTCTAATTTTCCAATAATCATGTCGATTTATTGATTTATTTATCAAATCGATTTTTTATTCCCTTTTAAATGTTATCTACCTGATGATTCATACGAAAATTAATCGCTTTCAGCGTTTCATGTGTGTTTCTCCTACTGGCCAATCATTTTCATCCATACATATAGACACATACAGACAGAGTGTCGTACTTTATTACATGATGTGTGTGTGAAAGATTTTATACTTCTTTCTTTTCTACAAACAGGTCGGTACTATTTATTACCTATTACGTTATCCCGCCCAATTAGTAGTACTATCCACTTACTTCATTGTCTTTATTTGTTCAACATTCAATTTCGCCTTTTCACTTGATTTTCTTCTTTAAATCCTAATTGTTGTGTACGTGTGTGTGTGTTTTCCTTTGTCACATTACACTATTCGAAACAAAATTGATGCAAGGTGAAAATACCCCAATTGAGAATCAATCACATGTCACATTTGTCTGATTTTATTTGCACCTAATCAAGTGATCAATTATTCCGTTCCTTAAAAATAAATTAAGCAGGAAACAACGATTCATGTTATTTATCTATCTATCCACTAGACGATACCATGTCGAAAGTGACATTTTAATCAGACAAAACATGATCACTGATATCATCAATCAGTATTATACACTGTTATTTGTTTATTGATTTATCCAAATCCTATCGGTGAGAATTAAAACTATGAAACCGATTGGCTGAATGGTTTGAATCTAGGAAAATGTTTTTTTCTTTTTAATATTTTTATTCTGTTTTTTTTGTCTGTGTGTGCGTGTGTATGATTTGTTTTATTAATTCAGGAGTTTGAAACATTGTCTATTTATATTTATTTATCATGATAACAAATAATTCTTTCAAATTGTACGTATCTGTAAGCGTGCAAGTGCATACTTATTTGTTCAGTGTAATTCCGATTTTCTGATTGTACTAACCGATACTACTACTACTACTACTATTTATCTGTCTTCTAATGTTGTTGCTGTTGTCGTTAGTCAATTATCGGTTAATTTATTAGCTCTTAGTTTCTTCTCTTATGTGTGTATAATATTTATATGTGTGTTATGTAATCATTAATTATTCAAAAGGATAATTTTACATTACAACCATCATTGATAAGAAAACACCAATCAGAATGATACACATATGACAACTGTTTATGTCATATTTAGTGAACACAGACATATAAAGATAGTCAGACAGACACATCATTAGACATATAAAGATAGTCAGATAAACACATCATTAGATAGACAAACATAATCATAATTAAATCAAAATAAATTGCATTGAGTTCAAAGTGAGAAGAATATTAGAGATGAATATCGCTTTATTGTGTGTGTAAAAATAATTTAACTTTCCATGTACTTTGTGTTTTTTTTTCTGAAAAGAAAAAAAATTTTTCTCGAAAATCCTGTATTGATCAATTTATGTTTTGAATGATGATGATAATAATTCTTTCCTGATTGCAAAAACAAAAAAATTAGAAAAAAAAAATCAAAAAAAAAACGGAAAACAAAAAATCACTACTTGAATTTTTTTTATTGTGTTTCAAAGGTGATTACATAATTTGATGTGTACGTTTTTTCCAAAAAAAAAATGGGTTATTTATATCCAGAAAAAAAATGTAAAATGTGTCCTTATGTGTGCGTGTGTGTTTATGTAAAATATCTTGTTTTACGAGGTGTAAGTAGACACGTTAATCAAGAAATTGATACCAAAACACACACACACCCCTTTCAAAGCATAGTATTCTATTGTTTCTTAAATGTTTTTATGCAGAGAAAAAAATCTCTCTTTTTCTCTATATTGAAATGTTCCAATTCTTTTTTTTGTTACGTGTGAACTTGGAATCGATTGTACAACAGAGAAAAAAAGAATTTCCGCCTAAATATGTGTAACTAAATGATCTATCTATCTACATTTGTATGTACATGTGTGTGTGTGCGTGTGTGAGTGAATGGATTCCACCATTTTCATTGTTATCGTTGTGGTTATTATTACCATTATTATTATTATTTTTGATTGTTACAAAATTATTCTCTATTGAACAATTCATTGTGATTTTCTTCTCTTAACTTCTACTATTTCAATGTTTACATACACACAAAAGACAATTGTTATTATTATTCCTATTGCCATTATTACGACGACAACGCCAACACCAACTACTACTACTTGTACTACTACCACTGTTCACACCATCATCATCATCATGAATAGTTTGGATGTCGATGAGTAACCACCTGAAAGCGATTTAACAATCAATGTAGAAAATTGTTTGAATGAAGCGTAAGTGTACGTGTAAGTGTAAGTGTAATCGGAAAATGTCCGAAATTAGTAGTTTCATCATGTGCCTCAAAAATTAAAATCCAACCAATAAAAATGGAGAGAAAAAAATAAAATAAAATAAAATAATAAATACTCAGTGTTTTTAATGATAATTTATTATTGTTATTATTATGAATATTATTATTATTATTATCAATATTCTTGTTATTACACTACTAATAAAAAATGTGTGATCTGTGTAGTTTTGTTTTGAAATTTGTTCAACATTTGATATGGTTAAATAGTTGTGGACTGTTGTTGGTAAAGTGTTAACTGAGATTAGTAGCAACCAATCAACAGCAGCGTAGAACTTCGTACGTACGTCAGTTCATACCACATTAGCATAGAGATACAATTGTCAATTCATATCCCATAGTAGTAGAGTTAGTAAGGGTATTAGCAGTAATCGGAAAGATTAGGGTTAGGAAATATTATTCATGAAGTAGAATCTAGTGAAATAAACTTAAAAAGATAGAAGTGATGAGGAATTCATAAGGTTAGAATTTCATAGAACACAAAGAATGAATGCACCTGCGCTATTGAAAATGGTTTTGAGTAATATCATTCAAGGTCTCTAACGATCGATTATTATCATTTCGCGGGCTCCAACCAAGTAGTCGACAACTACCGACATGAATCAGTCCATTTGTCAGTGACTTCATGCATTTCTGCCATGTTTTGGTTTGGCCGCACCTAGCTTTCTTCCAACCTATTCCTATATCGCAGAATATATCTCGACGACGCAGTCGGTGGTTAGGCATACGCAGCACATGTCCCAACCATCTCAACTGACGAAGTTTCACTACTTCATCTACTGATTTGCCGTCCCTACCTAGAACTCGTTTCCTAACGACAGCATTGCTTATACGGTTGTCCCATGATACACGAGCAATGTTTCGGAGACACCTATGATTACAAGGATTGTAATCGGCCAATCGCTTTAACGCATTTTTGTGTACTGAGCGGATTTCCTCGATATTGAGAAATATTCACAAGTATTTTAATAAAGTTAAGTAGAGGTTTCCAGTGAGATCCAGAATGCATATTACATATAGCAATATCAAAGAAATCCGCCAAGGATGCATATAAACGAAAAGTAACTAACTAGTTGGGGTCCGTATTTTTGCTGGGAAGATACAAATACTTAATTCATTTCCGTTTCACAAGACAGTCGATGCCCGGGATCAATAGTTAAGTGGTTAATTTGTTAGGCATTCGGATCGGAAAGCCCTTTGTTGGAGTCCCAGAATGAATATCAACACTGTTATGCAATTATATTAGGTCGACATAACCTGTATGATTAATTCTATTTCTAACATCTATCCAATATTTCTACAGTTAAACGCTTTGATCAAGAGATGAAGTTTACTTCACAGTTATTCTACAATAATACATTTCCAATCATCTCCATCGCTTGTTAGAATATTTATATGAAAGATGAAGGTTGTACAAAACAAATTTTTAAAAAGGTGGTGTAAACAAATCATGTCATGCTAAATAATAAAACTAATTACAATTAGGTTTAATGTAGGTATAAATTCTTTTCGTAAACAAAAGATGTAAGTGAGTTTTCCTAAGGATATAAGGCTTCAACACAACTTAAGCTATTTTTCTGTATCACAATAATGGTTGGTATAAAACTAATCTGACTGGATCCCACTATGTTTAGCAATGAAGAAAGATGAATGTTGGTCATGTTTTAGTTAGGTTGTTGGGGTGTTTTTGTTTATGTAGCCCCTTTGGTAAAGGTTCAGCTACTTTTATTCTGAAATCATGATTACTCTTGGGCTGCATTTCTACAGTTGAAAAATATCTGGAACTCCAAACAACTTTCAACCAAAACCAAAATCAGGATTTTCAATACAAATGTCAAGACAGTTCTACTGTATGGAGTGGAAACTTGGAGAAATACGAAAGCCATCATCCATGAGATACAAGTGTTTATGAACAGTTGTCTACGCAAAATACTTCCGATTCGTTGGCCAGACACGATCAGTAACAACGTACTGTGGGAGAAAACAAACCAGATTCCTTCAGTGGAGGAGGAAATCAGGAAGAAATGGTGGAAGTGGATAGGACACACACTACGAAAAGCACCTAACTGCGTCACAAGACAAGCCCTCACATGGAACCCTCAGGGCAAAAGGAAGGCCAAAGAATACATTAGGCCGAGAAATAGAGAAAGATATGAGAGAAATGAACAAACATTGGACAGAACTGGAGAGAGAAGCCCAGGACAAAGTTGGTTGGAGAAAACTGGTGTTCGGCCTATGCTCCATTGGGGGTAACAGGCGTAAGTAAGTAAGTAAGTAAGTAATGATTACTCTTCGCTATGTAAGAATACTAAGATGTGACGT